GAAACCTGGATTATCGATAAAAACACAGAGAAAAAACTTATTACTTTTGAAAATAAAGTCCTGCGCAAAATCTTTGGCCCTACTAAAGAAGGAGATGTGTGGAGAATTAAACATAATCAGGAACTAAGAGACCTGTTCAAGGAGCCAGATATAATTGCAGAAGCTAAAAGCAGGAGGCTTCGCTGGACGGGCCACATCATTAGAAGAGAGGAAGCTAGCACACTTTATCAAATATGGAAAAGTGACCCTCTGGGGAGGAGACCACGAGGGAGACCGAGGAAACGCTGGACGGATGAAGTAAAGAAAGATATGACCAGGATGGAAGTTAATGAAGATACCGCAAGAGACAGGGCGACGTTGAGGCAGTGTGTTGGTGAGGCCAAGTGCCACTTAGGGTACAAATGGCCATGGGAGTAAGGAGTGAGTAAGGAGTAAGTAAGTAAGATTCATCAAACTTTAACTACAAGTTTTTCCATTTCATTTTACTATTTGCGTGCTCCGACGCAGATGGTATTTTTACGTTGATCGAAGCTGGTATAAATAGCGATGGTGGTATTTTCAGGGCGTCAGCTATTAAGTGATGGATAGTTAACTTGGACATTGACATGCCTCCCGCTTCACCGTTGACACATGATGAATCAAATGTGCCGTCCCCCTTTTTTATTATTTGGGTGCTGAGCCTTTCCCTTTAACGCGGTATTTAATGAGACCTTAACAAAAGAATATACTGGACAACGTTAAGGGGATATTTAATTTAAGATTAAGCCGGGGAAGGAAATCTGTGGAATGTGCGTTCGGGATGGTAAGTTCTAAGTTTCAAGTCCTGATAGTGCCAATTTAGTGCCATAAAGTTGGAACAGTTATTGCCATTGTTAAATGTGTGTGCATTCTGCACAACTTTGTACGAAAGCGAGAGGGAACTGAGTAAACGCAAACCAACATAGACCAGACACGAGCGCCTAGTGTAGATAATATCAATGAATACAAACCACTATAAGAAGCGAAACCGTAATCCTTTTGGTAGGGACGGGGCTGAGCCAGCGAGAATTCCTGTTTCACCGATATTCCGCTAGGCTCCGCAGGCGCTGGTGTTGCGGTTGCGCTAGACTGTACATTTTGACTCTTGGTTGGGAGTGTACCAGCACCCACGTGGCAACTACAGTACCTGTCAACTACTTCAACGTCCCAATCTTCGATGTATCCCAATTTGCAATGTTTGCAAGCATGGTACCTGTGTCATGTGATAGTTTTGACCGTGTGTTTTAACTAACAAGTAAAACATGAGTAGTTATGTTAAGTGTCACTATTTAGGGTGTTCCTCAAATAACAAGACCAACTGTGAACTCAGGTTTTTCTGTTTTCCCGTTAGCGACAAGAAATGGTAAACGTAAATAATTTTATCCTTTATTAGGATGATAACATATTTAACCTTTAATAAAGGTTCATTAATTGAACTTGATAAACACTCGCTAACGAGTTCTCAAATGAGTAGGTCAGTCGAAAACACCTCGTCGGTTGAATCAATCTTTTCGGAATTGAGATTTTAGTTGCTATATGAAAACGTCACGTCAACACTTTTCATTGAAAGTCTGTGGTTTTTGAATATGTTATGATTGAAGGCTACACACATTTGCGGATTCAAAACCTGTTAAAAAAACTGTTTACCTACGCAAAACCTGTTGAGTCGAATTTTCTTTTTTAATAATTAACGAATTGTTGTGATTTTAGTTTAGATCCTCTAACAGCTTTAAAAATGTGATACTGCATTTCTGCATTTGTTAATAAAAATGTTTCTAAAGTCATATCTCAATAAAGACACTTTTAAAAGTGTGCCTTGATTTTCCTTAAATTAAATAATAAAAAAATAACTATAAATTGGTATGTAAAATAAATGCTAAATCGGGCAAAGCTTATCCACGGGAAAATAACCGATATTCTTGAAATCTCGACTGAATTTCCAGTAATTTTACACCTCAAATAGAAATTTTCTCAAAAATAAAAGCTACCTATGTTAAAATAAAAAAAAGTTATTTATTAAGGAATTACAAAGAATGTGGTCCTAAGACCCTTTTTTAAGCTCGCCCACACCTTTATTTTGGGCCAAATTATTGTTTTATGTTTTGTACCTAATATGAATACAATATTTTGTGTAGGGTTCTGATTCAAATATTATATACAAAATTGTAAGTTTTTTGCAAATAAGCTTTCTAATATAAGTTAAGGTTTCTACTATACACAATAAAAGATATTTTTAGTTTTCAAAAAGATATTTTGGGATCCAGTTTGCTAACATTGTTTTTGGATTTTTACTTAATTTAACTTTGAAAATATTATCGTTGTAAAAGAACTAAAGATAATTTTGTATAGTTATAAAATGTAATTCAGTTAAAATACTAAATCAAAACCATTTTCTAATTAAAATTTTATATGCCGAAAGTATCAGAGGAAACCGGGCGCGCGAACTCGCGAAGTTGAGCTTCTATGGAAATGGGAAATAGAAATTCGCTTAGTCTGCAGGTTTGCTCTGGCGGGGGTAATTTGTGTTAAGAGAGTTTTAGGGGTTAACCACCTCGCAAATCCAAAATTCCAAACCGTGAAATGGTTTAAACAAAAATTAAGTAATTAACAAATGTCAAGCAGTAATTTACAAATTGTAAAAAAAACTGTTTCTCAAAATTATAAGCCGCCATTAAGAGTCCTTGGAGCTCAGACGTTCTAACTCGTAGAACAATTAAAGAGCTACAAAGAAAACTTACAATCTCACAGTATACTAGATATTTAAGTTACAATCACTCTTTTGTTTGAAAAAAAATGTTTAAATATTGAAAATATTTAAACTAAAATATCAATAAATTAAAATATTAAAATATTACTGTATTAAATTTTTTTTAATAATTATAATCACTTTGGTGTTTGAAAAATTATTTTTCAACAATAAATAACTCTTCAGCAGCTTTTTGGAATTTTCCAAGATGGCTGCTAGCCTCCAAGGACTCTTAAACTGATTTCCCATAAACCAATCACTCTAATCCGTAGGGGTGTGATTTCTTATACAGATTTTATTTTAGATGCTGTGATTGGATAGCCAGCAGTGGTCGTGACGACTTTATTGAACTGCCAGATAATATAATTAAAAATAAACGCATCTGCAGTAAGCACTTTAAAGAGAAGGACTTTGCCAGCAGTTTAAAAAACAAGATAAAAAAAATGCCATTCCTGTACCATATTATAAAGCAAATGAGAGTGGTACAGATACTGTATCAAGTCAGCCAACACCAGGACCGTCTTTGGCAGCTACAACACCTGCAACGACTACTGCAAACCTGCATCCCTGCAACAGCACCTGTAGATTGACGAATGCTGATGAAACACGTACTTCTACATCACAAACACAAAGTCGTAACGAGGATGAATCACTTCAAAGTTTTTTATCAGATTTTACCTCAATTCAAGAAACCCCTAATGAAGACCTTACACCAAGAAAGAAATTAATAAAAAAACTGATTGAAACCCATAAAACCCACATACGAAAACAGTCAGTACTTTTGACTTCTAAGAGAGAAAAAATATTTAAATTGAAGAAAAGAGGACTTTTCCCTGTCAACAGCAACTATACGTTGTTAAGTAATTTAAAGAATTCTATTTCTGGAGACGTCCTTACCTTTGTAAATATGCAGATTTGTTTCTTTTGCAGATTCTTTTACCAGTGAAGAAAAAAACTTTTCGCTCTCCCTGTATTACAAGTCTCCGTCTGCTTATTCGTTTCTGATTTCCAGAGGGTTTAAGCTCCCTTGCGTGCGAACTGTGCAGCAATGGATTAACCTGGCTAAGTTGGAAAGTGTTTTTTCTAAAGGGCTATTAGAAAAACTAAAGCTAAAAGTTAACAGCATGACAGAATTTTGTGTTCTTATGTGGGACGAGATGAGCATAAAGAAAAGTCTTCAATACGATCCAACTCAAGACATAATTGAAGGTTTTCAGGATCTAGGGCCCCTAGGAAGAACATATGGTACAGCCACCCATGCACTACTGTTTATGGTACGTGGAATCAAGCACAAATAAAAAATACCAGTTCCATTTATGCTGTGTGAGAACGCGACTCCAGCAAATGCTCTAACTATTTTGCTAGATATGTGCCTTGACAGATTGTTTGTAACAGGCTTGAAGGTTAGAGGCACTGTATGTGACCAAGGGTCGACTAACGTGTCTGCTTTGAACCTATTGGGTCTAACAGAAAAAGAGCCACACTTTCTCTTCAACAATCACAAAATATATTGTATTTACGATGCACCACATATTATTAAATCGATACGTAACACACTCCTAAATTCTGACATTGATGTCAAAGGTAAGGTAGTAAAATGGGCCGACATAGAGGAATTCTATGAACTTGATAAAAGATCTACCAACGATTGTAGAGCGGCGCCAAAATTGATTTAGAGACACATAAAACCAAACAAATTTCTCCGTATGAAAGTTAATCTTGCTACACAGGTGTTTAGTAATTCTGTGAGTAGAGGAATGAAAGCTGCTTATGCAATTGGTGAACTGAAGAGTGAGTCAGCTCCACACACTGCTGATTTTTTGCAAACCTGTAATGACATTACGGACTGTTTGAATAGCCACTATGAGTTTGAGAAATGTCCGTTAAGACGCCCGCTGTCTGAAAAAAATCCTCAAGTGGAACAGTACTTAAGTGAAGCCATTGAGGACTTGCAATCCTGGCAATTGCACAAGTTCAAAACTAACAAGAAAGGGCAAAGGTGAAGAGGGTCAACGCTCCACCATGTTTTTCTGGACTAAAATCGTTAATTAGAGCAATTCATGGACTATATTCTGACCTAAAATCTGAAGGCAGCAGCTACTTACTAACATCTAGATTGAACCAAGATCCTCTGGAAAACATATTCGGAGTTATTAGACAAAGAGGAGGATACAATGCCAACCCAACAGCAAGTCAGTTCAGACGAAATCTGCAGCACACTATATCAGTTTGCCTTATGACGCCTCCGGACAGCTCTAATTGTGAACCTGATGACGACATCACCGTTGATTTTTCAAGACACGCCACATCGACCACGCCACTTCAGTCAACAGACGATTGTGACACCCCGCCGCAGAGTTCACATTTCACCGCCTTGACTACACCACTTCAGTCAACAGACGATTGTGACACCCCACCACGGAGTTCACATTTCACCGTATTGACCACGCCACTTCAGTCAACAGACGATTGTGACACCCCGCCGCAGAGTTCACATTTCACCGCCTTGACCACACCACTTCAGTCAACAGATGATTGTGACACCCCACCGCAGAGTTCACATTTCACCACCTTGACCACACCACTTCAGTCAACAGATGATTGTGACACCCCACCGCAGAGTTCACATTTCACCACCTTGACCACACCACTTCAGTCAACAGATGATTGTGACACCCCGCCGCAGAGTTCACATTTCACCGCCTTGACCACGCCACTTCAGTCAACAGATGATTGTGACACCCCACCGCAGAGTTCACATTTCACCACCTTGACCACACCACTTCAGTCAACAGATGATTGTGACACCCCACCGCAGAGTTCACATTTCACCACCTTGACCACGCCACTTCAGTCAACAGATGATTGTGACACCCCGCCGCAGAGTTCACATTTCACCACCTTGACCACGCCACTTCAGTCAACAGATGATTGTGACACCCCACCGCAGAGTTCACATTTCACCACCTTGACCACGCCACTTCAGTCAACAGACGATTGTGACACCCCGCCACAGAGTTCACATTTTACTCTCCCCTTTATGGCAGAACATTCTGATGTAACACTTTACGCACAGCCACATCAGAAAGATCAAGTCCTACCAGGTATGCCGTTTGAAACTATCAACCTACAGCAGAACACTGTTGCGCCAGTAAACTTGGAAGATAATGTCATTAACTACATAGCAGGCTGGCTTGCCAAAAAATCCATTGATAAATATGCTTGCAGTAATTGCATTTCCACTTTAACTAAATCTAGAGATGAAATTATTTTAGATTAAGAAATCTTGATTAAATTCAAACAGTTTATCACAGACACGGACTATGTCAAAGGGCTAAAAATACCTACTACTTCATTTTATCAAGTAGTAAAAGCCACCGCACGATCGTTTACTATCCACTTTAATGAGCTTAAAACAAAAATAAATGTTAGAAAACAAATTAATCTTGCTTTGAAAAAAGATGTTGAAGCCTGCTTTCCTGAATGGTTCTCCAATGAATGTCAAGATCATCGTATTTTTATGCTTGAACATTTTGTAAAAACGAAAATATTCTACAACCTAAAGTGGTTGTCACAAGACCTACGTGATACAGCCTTACTTTCCCAAAAACGAAGGCAGAATTTCAAAGAAAATGACAAACCAAACTCTAAACTCATGAAGATTCAAAGTGTTTAATTACAAAACTCAATTCATACATTCTAATAAAATCAATTATCTTTATTCACTTTATACAATTATTCTTCACATACATGAATAGTATCAAAGCTATTATTTCCACTTTAACTAAATCTAGAGATGAAATTATTTTAGATTAAGAAATCTTGATTAAATTCAAACAGTTTATCACAGACACGGACTATGTCAAAGGGCTAAAAATACCTACTACTTCATTTTATCAAGTAGTAAAAGCCACCGCACGATCGTTTACTATCCACTTTAATGAGCTTAAAACAAAAATAAATGTTGGAAAACAAATTAATCTTGCTTTGAAAAAAGATGTTGAAGCCTGCTTTCCTGAATGGTTCTCCAATGAATGTCAAGATCATCGTATTTTTATGCTTGAACATTTTGTAAAAACGAAAATATTCTACAACCTAAAGTGGTTGTCACAAGACCTACGTGATACAGCCTTACTTTCTCAAAAACGAAGGCAGAATTTCAAAGAAAATGACAAACCAAACTCTAAACTCATGAAGATTCAAAGTGTTTAATTACAAAACTCAATTCATACATTCTAATAAAATCAATTATCTTTATTCACTTTATACAATTATTCTTCACATACATGAATAGTATCAAAGCTATTATTAATAGTTATAAAATGTTATCCAAAATACTTAACTATGCCTTTAAAAATTTTAGAATCATTTTAGAGTGCCAATTTCGTAGCCATTTTGACATTGTACAAGTCAACATTCAAATATTCGAACATTTCAATATGATCTTTTTTGGAATAATTGAATGACATTGTTTTCTCGCTTAGGGTACCTTAAAAGTCAACCTCTTATCTCAATGTATATATGTATGTTCGTCAGCTCATCGTTACGAATTTCGTAATTGCTGTAACAAAGTTGTTTGTTTGTATTTGAAATGAAATTGTCCTATGTATAGGATAAAACAAATGTGTTGTTTTGTTTGTACCAGCATGCTTAAACATACAGGGTGGCTGAAAAGTAACTTTCACCCCCACTTAACTTTTCAACCATTTTGAATATTTGAAATCGGTTTGCGGCAACCTTCTTAGATATAAGGGGCTACAATAGTTATGGCCAATTTTGGAAACTTTGCCCTTAGGGGTGGCGGGGGTAGGGGGTAGCTCAAAATTTTCAAATGACAAGTATAGTTGAGTTTGGTATCATTTTACAGGTCTTGACGAAACATAAACATTGACATAAAGAAAACCAAAATCGGCTCACTAATAACAAAATGGCGCCCTAAAACGTTTCAAATCCAAATAACCTTGAGGGTGGCAAAAATATTAACTTGCACCCTCTTTAACTTTTTAACTATTTCAGATATTTGAAATCGGTTTACGGCAACTTGTTTGGAAATGAAGTGCTACAATAATTATGGTCAGTTTTGAAAATTTTGCCCTTAGGGGTAGCGTGGGTAGGGGGCAGCTCAAAATTTTCAAATAGCAAGTATAGTCGAGTTTGGTATCATTTTACAGGTATTGACAAAACATAACAAATAACATAAAGAAAATAGAAATCGGACCATTAATAACAAAATGTCAGCTAAAAATGATTGAGGCAATGGTTATTTAAATTAATTTTGAACTGCCATTTTGTTATTAATTGTCCGATTTCTATTTTCTTTATGTTAATTGTTATGTTTCGTCAAGACTTACAAAATGATACCAAACTCGACTATACTTGCTATTTGAAAATTTTGAGCAACCCCCTACCCCCGCTAACCCAAAAGGGCAAAATTTTCAAAACTGACCATAACTATTTTAGCCCTTTATATCCAAACAAGTTGGTGCAAACCGATTTCAAATATCTGAAATAGTTAAAAAGTTAAAGAGGGTGCAAGTTAATATTTTTGCCACCCTCATGGTTATTTGGATTTGAAACGTTTTAGGGCGCCATTTTGTTATTAGTGAGCCGATTTTGGTTTTCTTTATGTCAATGTTTATGTTTCGTCAAGACCTGTAAAATGATACCAAACTCAACTATACTTGTCATTTGAAAATTTTGAGCTACCCCCTACCCCCGCCACCCCTAAGGGCAAAATTTTCAGAATTGACCATAATTATTATAGCCCCTCATATCTAAGAAGGTTGACGCAAACCGATTTCAAATATTCAAAATGGTTTAAAAGTTAAGGGGGGGTGCAAGTTACTTTTCAGCCACCCTGTATATGTTTCATTTTTACGAGTTAATGAAAAAGTAGGCTACATTGTTTAAATTTAAATACCATTCTGAATTTATTTAATTAGTATTCATTTACATTGATATTTTAAAACCACATTTAAAAAAATAGCTGTTACCAATGGGCTTCAACCCGTTTGACTTCATAAGTATTAATAAAGTTATTGATTGGTTAAGTTAAGCTGAAATAAAAAATAATAAAAAAACAATGCAGCATTACAAACAAATATTCACACCAGATTTTAATAAGGTAATAAATTGAAAGAATAACATACAATTAAGAACAGCTGAGGTATTTTTAACTTTAAGTATATGGAAAGTTCCCTTTAGAAGGCAATTGAGGTGGTCAACGTAAAAGGGGCGTATGGGTCCATACGCCCTTTTTACGCAGATCGCTTTATTTGATCCGCCATTTCGTGTAGAATTCAGTGGTGCAAGGTTCATCGCAATATCTTGAAAATTGAAGTTGGTACACCTGTTTTTGTGAGGTGATGTCAGCTGGTTTTCACAGTCAGGTACTCTTCTTTTGTGGTTATGTTATGATTTGATAGTCCTGTGTGATGCTGCTTATTTATATTATTAATAGTTAAAATGAGTGACTCTAATGAAAGTGATGAAAGTGAAATAGTTCAAGTTAAGAAGAAAAGAACAAGAAAAATAATAAACAAACAGAAAAATAAATTTCATGAGGAAGTGAAACGTAAACGTGCTCTTGGCCTAGGCTATACAACTAGTAAAGGTAAAAGTGTTGATTCTAAAGTTCATTCTGTCATTGAAAACTGTTGTAGTAGTAAATGCTATCAAAATGTTTCATTTGAAAACCAGGTTGAAGTATTCGATGCTTTTTATTGCGGTCAATCAAAAAGCCTTCAAGATGCTTATTTGGCTCGGTGTATGGAAAAGTCGGAAGGCCCTAAAAAAAAGACTGTAAACCTAAAAAGACCAAGAGAACATTTATGGAACTATGTACTTTATGTCGGTGGAAGTAAGCTATCCGTTTGTAGAAAGTTTATACTAAATTTATTTCAAATTTCAGAGAAACGATTGCGTATTGTACAGGGCAAACTTCTGTCCAATGATTCTTTCGAAGAAAAGCGAGGTACTCATGATAATAGACCACGTAATACTCCTGATGATGTTATTTCGCTAATGGGTGATCATCTTAAATCGATTCCACATGATGAAAGTCATTATTGTAAAGCTAAAACAAACTTGTTATACTTTGACAACTGTATGCTCAACATTAAAACATTATATGAAATGTTCAAGGACTACTACAAAAATCAAACTAATAAGGATCTAAAAATGTCGTATAAGACCTACTATGAATATTTTAAAACTAAATTTTCCTATGCTGTGCGAAAACCAAAAACTGATGTTTGCGATTTTTGTGAAGAATGCAAAAACAAGTTAAAAAGTAACCCAAATGATCCTTGCCAACCCATGTATGAACTACATAGAAGGAAGGCATTAAAGAGGAAGGAAATCCGTAATGATTACATTGCTAAAAGCCAGCAAAAAAACTCAACAACACTCTTTCACGTGTTCTCAAAAGTTCATGGGTACTTTGGGCTTAATATATAGACTAGCTTTTGTACCCGTGCTTTGCAACGGAAAGAGAACACCAAATAGAAACATTTTAATCTTTACATCTGTTGCATATAATATTTACACATCTGCCAACGCTTTTAGAAACAAAATTAAACTTTTATAGCCTTAATAGAAACGTTTAAGTCATGACGTTTAAATCTGGTAAGTAGTGGATACCACCATTTTGGTTTTGATTAATTTTAAATCTTTTTTGGCTGATATGAGAAAAACTGACCAAATCTTCGAATAAAACGTTGACAATCATGATTTACCTTCATCTCCCTTAATTACATATCTTTTAATTTATTATTGACATTTAAAATTTCAATTTTCAAGTTGCAAAAGTACTAATTAAATTTAAATGAACATTTGTTAAGTTTCACTCTTCTTTATACTAAATCACAAATCCTTCCATCTCCAGTTTCTTCACTCACAACAAATCATTAGCAAAACTAAGTCAGCTGAGAATTTAAATTAGCTAACTCAAGAAAAATTCTGAGTCGTATTTCCTGTTATTACACACAGAGCCGTTGTAAGTAAATGAAATACATATATTTAATGGATTTTCTTACCCTTTAGATGTTTTAACTTGTAATATCATATTGAGCCTTATCATATTGAGTATCATATTGAGCCTTATGTTTGAGCCTTATTGGGCCTGATTGAGAGTTTGGTGATAAAAAAAAGAAATCACGAGTAATATGTTACGATTTACAATTCTCATTTTCTCTAATGGCCTAATAATGATTTATAATTATTTAAACGTGTTAAACAGTATTTTTTTATATAAAACATTCAGGAAATTTATTTAATCAT